GTCGGCCGCGGGCTCTCCACTTGAAACGACTGCAACATATGCCCGCCGCAGGCGCCGAAAAATGTGGTTTGTACCCTGAACGTGGTTTGGGTCGCGGGTTGGTCGCGAGTTGGTCACGGGATGTGTCGCGGGCTCTCCACTTGGAAGGAATGCAAAAAAGCCCGCCGCAGGCACCGAAAATTGTGGTTTGTACCTTGAACGTGGTTTGGGTCGAAGGTGGGTCGCGGGTGGGTCGCGGGGTAGGTCGCGGGTGGGTCGCGGGTGGGTCGCGGGTGGGTCGTCGGGTGGGTTGGGTCGCGGGTGGGTCGCGGGTGGGTCGCGTCGCGGGGTGGGTCGCGGGGTGGGTCGCGGGTGGGTCGCGGGTGGGTCGCGGGTGGGTCGCGGGTGGGTCGCGGGGTGGGTCGCGGGGTGGGTCGCGGGGGTCGCGGGGCGCGGGTCGCGGGGTGGGTCGCGGGTGGGTCGCGGGTGGGTCGCGGGTGGGTCGCGGGTCGCGTCGCGGGGCGGGTTGCGGGTGGGACGACGACAACAACAACAACAACAACAACAACAACAACAACAACAACAACAACAACAACAACAACAACAACAACAACAACAACAACAATTAGTAGCACGTGGGGACACTCCGTTCTCACCAGTGCCAGGGTTTTCATAGGAGGCGGGCAATACCCCCACTTTGTGGGGGGGCCGGTTCAAGCTCTACCAAATTTCCAAACGACTCTTCGCCACCACCCACACCCAGCTTCCCGCCCTATGACGTTCGGACACTTCACTTCGTGGCATGCGGACGACCGTGGCTACTATTCAGGGCCCCGCGGCCGACGACGACGGCGTGCGCGCGCGAAGAAAAAACGAATGTGTCCCGCATGGTATTATTTGACAGGGATGATGGCCCTGGCAGGTGCGCAACCGTTGTTGCAGAAGTTCGAAAAAATTGCTCGCAAAAGCCCGTTTGACAGAAATGTTTAAAAAGTGTTGGGTTTCCTACGAATCCGCAAGAGCGCGCGGTGCTCGCAAAAGCCCGTGTGACAGAAATGTTTAAAAAGTGTTGGGTTTCCTACGAATCCGCAAGAGCGCGCGGGATGAAATTTTGACAAGTTTTTTTGTTTAAAAAAACATTGGGTTTTTGATGTTTTTATGTTAAAATCGCTACGCAAACTAAGGTTTTGGAAGGATTTCGTCTTGCGCGCGCGAATGTCCACTTTACTTTATTTTTTGCAAGGGATTCTTGAAGTTTGGTTATGTTAGAACAAGAAATGTCCACTTTAGCTCATTTTTTTTGCAAGACTTCCTCACGAAAATGATGAAAATGAGGCTGCGGATCGTGCACCAGGGGTCCCAACAATAATTATTCAAACAAAAAACAAACAACAACAACAACAACAACAATCATTTTACCCGAACGCTCAGTGTTCTCACCAGTGCCAGGGTTTTCATGCGACGCGAGACAATACCCCCACTTCGTGGGGGGGCAGTTCAAGCTCTACCAAATATCCAAACGACTCTTCGCGACCACCCAAACCCAGCTTCCCGCCCTATGACGTTGGGACACTTCACTTCGTGGCGTGCGGACGACCGTGGCTACTACACTGGCGTGGGGTACACACCCACAGAACTTGGTCACTTATTCGGGGCGCGCGTGTGCCCAGCATCCTGCAATTGTGACATACAATACATGACACAGACAGACAGAGAGAGAGACAGAGAGCAGACAGAGAGAGAGACAGAGAGAGCGGAGTTGGTCACATTTTTGGGGCAAGTTCCTGAGATCGTCGTGTTTTTTGTTGGTCTTGCGCGCGCGAATGTCCACTTTACTTTTTTTTGCAAGGGAGTATTGAAATTTGATTATGTTAGAACAAGAAAAAGTAGCTCGCGCGAGCTCATGTAACATAAATGTTGAAAAACCATTGGTTTTGTGGGAGTCGGACAGCGCGCGCGGGATGAAATTTGGACATTTTTTTTTGAAAAACCATTGGGTTTTTGATGTTTTTATGTTGAAATCGTTACGAAACCTAAGGTTCTGGAAGGATTTCGTCTTGCGCGCGCGAATGTCCACTTTACCTTATTTTTTGCAAGGGATTATTGAAATTTGATTATGTTAGAACAAGAAAAAGTAGCTCGCGCGAGCTCATGTAACATAAATGTTGAAAAACCATTGGTTTTGTGGGATTCGGACAGCGCGCGCGGAAGGACATTTTGACAATTTTTTCTTAAAAAACCATTGGGTTTTTGATGTTTTTATGTTAAAATCGTTACGAAACCTAAGGTTTTGGAAGGATTTCGTCTTGCGCGCACGAATGTCCACTTTACCTTATTTTTTGCAAGGGATTCTTGCAATTTGATCAAGTAAGAACAAGAATTTTCATTTTCTATTGTTTTTTGCAAGGGAAAACGGCGTACAACAAAAAACCGGATCCGGTGACAATCCACTTTTCTGAAGCTTTCGCGAAAAAATGATGAAAATGTAGCTGCGGCCTAGGCGCGGCGCAGAGGTCGCGCA